ATGGGCTGAGGTGCCTCTGGGTAGACTCTTACCCTTTTTAATATTTTGTTTCTTTCAAGTACCAAACTAAATTATTCCATTGAAACAACACTTCGATTTAGTGTGAATTCGATTTAAAGCGACCTCTCTTGAAACGTATCTTGTGTTATATCGACGTTCTACTGTACAAAGTACATTTACCTCTGGAATTGTAATAAGTCTCTGGGACCACCATTGCTCAAAATAAGTCAAGAGACAGAAGATTCCCAATATCCTAATAATGACTTACCATCATTAATGTAATTACATTTGGGAAATTAAAATTTGGGTCATTCCAAAACAACTGCTGAACTTATGGTTACCTTACAAGGTATACTGTACAGTATAGTCCGGATTTACGTGGTTTTTGTTTACTCATTTGGTCATTTACGCGGTGCCTTGCCAGAATGAAATGTTTTACTTACGCGGTAAATTTCATCATTTTACGCGGCGAGTGGCTGGAGAGGTCCAGACCGCCCCGCCATTTTTTACTCACGCGGTCCATTCTTGACCATACGCGGGAAGTGGCACGGTGAGTGGTGCACATTAGGCCGCTCTTACGTTATCGCTGATGTCATATTACGTATCTGACTGTGATTGGACCACGCATCCTTACCACCCATTCATTCCCTCCGCGCTAGCTGTGATTGGTCTTATGTAACATAATGTGCCCTGCCACCAGAGGGCAGAAGTCGCTGACCTAGCCGGGCCTGTCTCATTGTTCTCAGTCCGCGTATACAGTTCTCCCTTGTGCCCGCTATTCCCCTCACAATGGCTTCCGCTGGACCCCCACCACCCGAGAAAAACCTTGAATTACCTGAACCAAGCCATGATTGTGTGAAGGAAATCATCGAGTTGGGGGGGAAAATTAAGCTCATCCTTGACAACGACCCAGACAAGCATCGGTATGAAGAGTCTAATAACCATCTGACGAGAGTTATGGAGCCGTATATACAGATCTATCTCGACAACATCAATGCTAGTCGTCAACGTAGTATTAAGGACTTCTTCGCCCGCAACCCACCACAACCACAGCCAGCCCAAGTCAGTGATAGTGACAGTGAGGATATGGACTTTGAGGGGTTTGTCTGGGAGGCCCTGCAAACCTCTGCGAGTAGTGAAAGTGATTCACCAGAGGGCAACTAATCTGCCCTCTGCCGCGGAACCAGCCGCCATCCACGTGTGCCGACCCATCTTTTCTACTAAGGTAAGTGTTAAAAAACCTAATATTATTGATATTTCTCTTAAATATTAATTGTGTGTGCATACCATCATAAAATTAAGATGTTATTTTTACTACAAGGTACATAATGTGCCGGAAAAAGTGGAGTTTTGGGGTCGGCCCAGTCTCTATTTCAATTAATCCCATATGTTCTGTCATTTCGTTTACGTGTTTCTCGTTTTACGCGGACTTCCACGGGTTCAATTGACCGCGTAAATGCAGACTATACTGTATACTACTACTAGGTCAGTGGGGTTCAAAATAGCCCACCCTGAATGAAACCTAGCCTTACAGTAAAAATATTTTAAAAAATTTGCCTGTGGTACAGAATGTGGTAAAAAAAATAAATAAATAAATAAAAATAAAAAATCAGTGTATATGTTGGTCCACCAGTAATGGAGTCTGGTGGGTGAATGTAAGACAAACCAATAAACAGTAGTAATACCTAAACCCGTGGGTAAAAAAACCTAACAAATTTCTGAGTGTCAAACTGGGGACAATACCAAGCTTTGGTAGAAATTATAACAGACTCCAGCAGTTAAGATCAACCAAATACCGAAGAGAAAATGGACAGCTAAACTTGAATGTAAAATCCAAGTAAATTTTTTAATTATTTCCCTAATGCAGGAAGATGGTACTAAAAGTAACTTGCTACCTAATCAAACTTGGGTTGTTAGCACAGTAAACACTCTTGTAGTGCAACTGCATACTGTATACCGAGACATTAACCTTGAGATTAAGTTGAAGAGTCCACTGCTATTTTAAAGTACTGTACTACCCTACAGGAGGAAGGCACTTTAAATGTTAGAGAAACATCTTAAAAATACTTTATTCCTGTTTATTTGATTTTTTCATACAAATACAGTGTTATTATCTGCTTTGAGGAGAGTCCTTTAGTGTTTGTTGCTGTGAGCTTGGTTGTATTCCCTGGTTGCCTTTTCTTAGCTGCCATGAGAAGCTCATGTGGAGCTTCGAATTTACAAGCTGGAGTACTCTTTGGAAGACCCATTTTAGTAGTAACTATGCTCCTAAGGGTTTCTTCTGGATCTAGATTGGGGGGTAAGGATGTTTTGTTTTCCTTACCATTTGAAAAACTCTTTCTTCAGCTGCATTTGAGTCTGGTATTGTAACAATCAGCTGCACCACCTGACTGAGAAGTGAGAATTGGATGTTACCATCTGTATTGCTCCTGGTAGACAAGTGCCCCCAAACAACATCCATGGAATGTAAACGTATTTAACAATATCCTCAATACATATTGCTGCCTTTTCTCACACTTCTGCTGGCATATCCCTTTCTTCTAGCAACTGATAGGAAATGACTCATCCTTTAATAATTCAATTTTTTCCACATCTCTGTTAAATGGAAGGAGAGATGAATACTGGTCAATGAAGTATTCAAGTTGAGACAATTCTGCTGATTCTCTCATTGCAAAGTTGAGACACCAGGACCTGGATGCACTAACATTTAAATCACTAAGTCCCAGCTGGAGCTCTTAACTTTCTGCGGGCAAAACTCCAGTCATCTGTCTTAGCTAAGACCATATGCACAAAGCATTTAAGTGCACTAGAGTCTGGGATCTTGGAAACTTAAGTCCACTCCCGAGTTGTCTTAAGTGGCCAAACCAGCCCTGAGTTCACTAAGGCAACACTGCTTTTAGCAGTAGTGTCTGGTCTTTAGTGAATTTTGATCAAGTAATACACTGGAAAGTTATTTCAAATGCAATCTACAAGTAGAACTCATTGTTTATTATTTTTCTTTAAACTAAAATTTGTATAACGGGTGCTTCCTAACTCCACCAACTTCTTTTGTTTACACAAATTCAGGACGGTAATGGTCACTCTTTGCAGATACACACACACCACACACCTATATCTCTGGGGAGTTCCATGGAACAAAGATTTCGGCTAATGGGGAGATTTCTATTTTATTAAACAAAAGCAGCGTTAATGATAACCTCTTTACTATGTTACACAATATGTGGCATAAAACAAAAACAAAAAATCTTAACATTTTCTACTTTCTCCGACACAAATAATATACAGTATACTTTATAAGTAAAGATGTTATAGGAGTTTTATACTACCTGTAGAGGCATGGGTCAATTAACTTTCAAATTTAACTAGTTAAATTAGTTAATCTTTACTTTTTCCCAATTAAGTTAACTTGATTTTTAAACATTAACTAATTAATATTTTTGGATTAAGTTAGGTTAACCAGTCATGACCAACTTTTCTGTGGAGTAAATAACATAATAACATGTAAATGTATTCCAAAAGTCAATGAATAGTCTGAATACCTGTACCCTTATTCGTGAAAATTGACACTAACTGGGTGCAAGGATCTGTGTGTTTTATAGTATTCAGTACTGTATACTTGTTATATTTTCTAAAGAGTTAATCGATATAAGTAAACGGAGTTAATTAATTAATTTGATAAAATTTCAATTAAGTTAAGTTAACCAATATTCTAACAGTTAACTAGGAAGTAGTAGGCAGCTATCAACCAGGGAGGTACTACCGCCTGGGAAGATATTGGAAGCATAATGTGCTGTCTGATGGTAGACCCTGCTGCCATATGACATCACAAAAATTGTGACCAAGTCCCAGGTTGCTGATCTGACTTTCTGCCTCATTTACACACAATTGTACGGTCTCAATTGTTTCTCTTAGTTTGACAACACAACATACATATGTCGTTTCTCACTCTTTTATTATTATTATTATATTTTCGACCCCCTGGCCCCGATGTGGGTTAGTGATCTGTGACTGGGTGGGCTAATCCCCGTGTAAAAAAAAAAAAAAAAAAGCTAAATTAACTTCATTGTTAATTTGTAGAAGTTAACAATTAAGTTAATTAATTGCCCCATGCCTGTATAGTACATATCAATAATTTTGGACTTCATAACATTATTGTGCAACTTATCTTCTTCAAAACATCTTTGTTTATTGCACAACATTGAGCTTAAAACAGAGAAAATGTTAATACAGTGTTACAAGATGAATCCAGTACATAATTATTCTTACCTAATTGGCTGAAAGCTGGCATCCATGCTGAATTAGGCTTTCTTATCCATATGTTCACATAATATACGACTAATAACCTGTCATTATCACCAATATCAAGCACATATTTACTACCATTATGGTTAAAACAAGTTCTGACATAACACTATGAAAAGTTACAAAAAATAAAAATAAATGTGATATGTTCACAATGAAAAAAATAAACAACGGAACACCAGGACAAGGGCAGATGCAAAAATAATGGGGGCATAAAATATAGAAAAGACTGGAGACAGAATGTGCCAGGGAAATTTGAGTGGTTCATATAGTTCAGCACAATACTAAGGAAATATATTTATCAAAGGAATTTCAAGAGTAGAAAAAGGATGATCTATCTAATTGTGTTTCTCTTTACTTAGTAATTAGGCACTGATACAGTACTCTACTGTATAACAATATGGTACAAAATATTTGGAGTGGTGTTACTTAAAATAGTGAGAAAATATATATATATATATATATATATATATATATATATATATATATATATATATATATATATATATATATATATATATATATATATATATATATATATATATATATATATATATATATATATATATATATATATATATATATATATATATATATATATATATATATATATATATATATATATATATATATATATATATATATATATATATATATATATATATATATATATATATATATATATTTTACAATGTTCCTTAAATAACATTACTTTTTGGCTTTAATATGGTGGAGAAAGTCACTATCTGATTCATTAAAGATTTCAGAAATAGCTGTTAAGGCCTTTGTTTTGCATCTACGTCCTGGCCGAGTAGTAGAATATCTGCTGCTTTCACAAGTAGACTCTTCATGAAAGTCTTTGTTTCCTTTAGTACTCTTTTTCTTTCCATTCACCTTTTTATTCTTGATCTTTGTATCTTCAGTACTGCTCAAATCTGAATTTACTCTGTCAATCATCATGCTTTCCTTTTCGTAGCCTTCATATTTCTCTTTTCTCTTCTTACTTGTGGGTGTCGGTGTATCAGGTACGCCTTTTTCTTCACTAGATTTTTCTTGCATCATAGCCAAGTCTTGGTCAGATGAGAGTGTTTCTTGACCTGGTGCTTTTCCTTCTGATGTAGAGGACTTATTTCTGTTTGTACCTAGTGTTTTTCTTTTCTGAATGAAACTAGGGAGCATTTCAACAGCATTGGTGTTTAGGTCAGCACGTATCTTTATTCTATTTCTTTTTTCATTAAATTTTTCTGCTTCCTTGAGGCCCTCTGAATTTATTCTTTCAGTTGGTTGTAGTGATAATAACTGAAGCTGTGCACTGACTTTATTTTGTAACAGAACATTAGAAATTTCAAGTGACTGTTCCGAGTTAAATTTTGCCTTCTTCTGCCCAAGTCTTGTATTGATACACTCAGAGGCATTAGATACATATGTATTTTCATTACTGGCTTGTGGTTCTACACTTTCACAGGACTGGAGAGACATCAATTCAAGATTCATACAAAATTCTTCATCTACTTTGGAAGTGGCATGGACTGGTAGTGATTTCTCTAAATTACGATATTTCTTTCCCCCTTTCTTGTTTGATGTAGTTTTGTATCTAACAGCTTTTTTATCTTTCTGGTCAATGTGTGTATCAACTTCTTTGATCTGAATCTGACATGAAATTTTCTTACTATCAGCTATTGGTTTCTCACTTGGTTCACTATCACGTATCTTATCAGTTGAAGCATTCAGTGTCTGTTCACTGTTGCTTCTACTCACCAACTTTTTACTGCAATTTTGACTTACACTATGGATTTCAGATGTTGATTTTACAAGTTTAGTTGCACTAGTTGGTTCAGGAATTTGACTTGTGAACTGTAAAATTTTTCTTTGAGCTTTTCCAGAATTTTTTTTAGTACTATTTTTTGTTTCAGAACATAGCAAATCATCAGTATGTGGTTCTGGATCTTTCAGTTTTGACTTTGTTCTTTGCTTGATTCCAGCTTCTGAATCTTTAACTTCCTTTCTCTCAATGGAAACATCACTGCAACTTTCTACTGTGTCAGAAGATGCGATGGTAGACTTAGATTTCTTAGTTCTCCCTCTTGATCTAAAGCCTCTTGCTGACTCTAAGAGAATCATATTATTGCTACTTTCATTATGATAAGCATTACTGTCTGTTGGCTTCCTACTTTTTGTTATTTCAATGTCAGAGTTATTAATATGATCTTCAGAATCTTTATGATATAACAGCAGGTCTTTTGTAATTTTCTTTACATTCTTTCTTGCCAATTTTGTTTTTAAAGTGCCCATGTCACAGTTTACTTCTGATGCCTTTACACTTTCAGAGAAGGTTGCCAACTTAGTTTCTCTTGTATTTTGTTTGGTACTGTCTTTGTTTGGATCTACTAAAACAGGTATACCCGTTTTTATGGTCTTTTCACAATTATGGTTAACTTTTTTATTATCCTTCATATTATCTGGCTTGATTTCCTCAAGAATTGGTGCATGATCATATTTGCCCGATTTTAGCTTGCTGTGTTTCACACTTTCCTGCCTGGTATCCCTCTGGGGTTTTTTGTTTTCTTTATGCACTTTTTTATCTTTTGTTACATGCTGAACCTCATCCACCAAACTGCCAATTTCATCTTCCACAAATCTGTGTGTGTTACCGAAGTCTGATTTTGTGGGTTTCTGCAAGTGATCACTGAATGGTTTTGCTTTTTGTTTCTGAAGTGACAACTTTTTGGCAGGTGTGTTTGCATCTTTATTAATGGCTCCAGCAAATTCAGTTTTTATGGAATTTTTTGAGGTTCCTCTAATAACCCCTGAGGAATCTTTTGTTCCTTCTTGAATTTTAGTTTTATTCTTGTCCTTTTTTCTACTTTCTCTTACGGGGAAAATTTCCATTGAATCATCAAAGTCTAACAATGTAAACGTGTCATTAATCCAAGTCAGTTTTTCATTATTCATGCTGGGATTCTGTGGACTCTTTAAATTTTTTGTAGGAGCATCAAGTGCTTCTGAAAATTTTGTAGTAATTTGTTCAACTTTCTTGTTACATTGTTTGCCTGTTGTCTTCGTTTCTTGATGAGAAACCCCAAGATTCTTTTCTTCATTAACACCACGGGTCACTTTACTAGTTTTCTTATTTGCTAATTTCTCTCTCAGTGATACTTTTGTCTTTGTGTTTTGAGTAGCAGTAAGTTTTTCCTGTTCTGGTGAAACACTTACTTCTGTGCCATCAATTTCCATATTTTTTATTTCATTTAGTACTGAAGAAATTCTCAGCTTAGGCTCTCCATGTGAAACAAATAATTGTTTTGTATTAATAGCTTCTACTGATGTATCAATACTATTTTTATCTTGTGTAGAATTATCTTCTGTATCACAGGATTCCAACTGATCCTCCGAAGTTGCCTTAACATCCATGAATCCAACAGGTGGTGTGAGGACACAATCAATGTGTGGAATATTCTGATGAGTTACAGACAAAGCAGCACTTTCATCCAATAATCCTAATTCTGAGTTATCTTTACTTACCAAAATAAATGATTTTTTACTAATATCCTCATCTACCCCCAAATGATCTTCCTGTACTGTCTTGCCTTTCAGTAAACATATTTCTGAATCCTTCTCTTGATAAGCTTCAGAGCTCGAAGTATAATTTCCAAGGTCAATCAAACTGTGTCTAGACACTGGTTCTGAATATCCAGATGCAGAGCTTTCATGCACACTATAATCCACAAGTGTCTTGCAGTAAAACCCTGATAAAGTTCCTGGTAAAGGTTGCTCATACAAAATATCAGTTTTTAGTAAGTCAGGTGAATGTAATGAGATATCAATATTGCACTTGTCTAAAACTGGAGATACTTTTAATTCTTGTTGGGAACTTCCTGTGTTATTTGCTTCAATGAAAACATTAGTGTGATTTTTAATACCCACAGGAGATTCCAAAATTGTAATAGGTAATGTCTGAATATCCTTATATATCACTGGAGGTGAAAATGTACAAGATTCATCTGCAGATGTGAGTATGAAGGTTTGATCTGAACTAACCTGAGGGCTAGAATACACCACAGTAGTATGTTGTACATCTCCCAATTTTAATCCTTTATTTTTAAAATCTGAAAACTGTGATGTTCTTTCATCAACACTGCTTTCTTTTACTTGGGATTTTTCTCTAATTATTACATTACTATTGAATGAAGATTCCAATGAAATTTCATTGGAGGCTGAGGAGGCTTGCTTACTTCTATATTTTTCTGGAGAACAATCTACATCTCCCAATACTGAAGAACCAAGAGTGAAATTCATACAACCATTTTTCTCTGTGCAACAATCAATTTCTGCCAACTTGTTTGGAGTTCTTGAAAGTTGCCGTCCAGAAGGAATAAAATTAGACTCTACATCACTTGTAGGACTCTGTGTTGCTTCTTGTGGAGATTCTTCATCTGACATGGTGCTATCAAGAATCCTCTTATCAGTAGGAGTGAGATATGAATGTGTCCCTTGTTGTGAAGAAAATTCTGAGTCAGACAGTGAGTTATCACAAACCTTATCAGCAGGGGTAAGGAAGGTATTCTTCTTGTCCTCATAAAAGCTCTGGTTTTCCATGTCAGATATGTTAGATGACTTTACTGGGGTTCTAGGGAGCTGTCGACCTGTAAAAGTTTAAGTAATCATTCAACATGACAAGAAGAAATAAAATTTGAAGATACTGTAACTTTTCTATTATCCATAATTAAAAAGTATGACACATGTCACTTTTGTTACTATTATACAGGGGTACGGTATTTAGATTTGGGCTACCCTTGGACAAGTAGGAAAAGTCTCAAGGCAAATTTTTTGGTTAACTTAAATCTACTGTATAAAGAAGTGAGGCACTTCAACCCAAATACCCATCCCATGATTCATAGGTGAATAAATTGGCTTAGTGATTTGTACCTCTAATTAAATCCCCACAATCAGAATGTCTTGCTATGCTCTGGAAATAGAATAGAGATACTGCTGATATAGCCACTCTCCCTATCACACACAGATTTCTCAGGCCTAAAAGAAAAATGTGCTCCCTCGATGTGAATACTGCCAATTTAGGAAAATATCCCTGAATAAATTCCCTTTAAACACCCCCCCCAAAAAAAATCAACATTTCCATTCATTACTTGTCTCCACACCATAACCTAGGAATATTTTGGGAAACCAAGCCAATGTGCCCTTCTGAAATCTGAGACTTTAATGAATTTTCCTCACAACTGACATTAAGTTCTACTTAAGAATCTCACTACTTTGTGATCGTTGTTAGCTAGTTCGTTCCCTACCTTGGCATTACTAATGAGATTTTCTCCGTTAGACAGAACTAAATCTAGTATATTATTACCCCGGGTGGGTTCTGCTATATGTTGACTTAAGAAACAGTTCTGAACTGCTTCAAGAAAATCCTCTGATTCTGAACTACTCATAAGGTTGGTCCAATCTCTTTGACTTAAGTTAAAGTCACCTACTATACAGACTTTGCTATGTCTGGATGCCCTGCATATTTCATCCCAAATAAGTTGCTCCTTAACCCTATCTAGATAAAGTCTATACTGTATATTAGTACTCCTATGAATAATTTTTCCCTACCATCAGTTAATTTTTTCCAAATTGTTTCTGTATTCAGTTCAGGTTTTATTTCCTTATTGATTTCAAACTTCAAATTATCCCTGACATAGATTGCTACCCCACCTCCTTTCCTAAGCTGCCTATCGGTATGGAATAATTTGTAACCCTAAATTTGGCATTGACAGGTAACTCACAGGGTCCTAAGTTTATCCATGTTTCGGAGAATGCTATTACTGTATAATGATTTTATTTCTCATACTGTAGTACTTCTACTGTCTGCATAGCAGACATGTAAGTTAGTCATGATCTCAGTCCTCTCAGTCATGTTCAGGTTTTAACTCCTCTCCTAATTTAGTTTTGTCATCATTTCTAGCACTATTTCTCTGTAACCTCTCACTTTGTTTACCTGCACCCACCGCAGTCTCCTCGACCCCCGTGCTCACATGTTCTCCTAGCAGTTTAAAGACTTTGACATCTTTTGAATTACCCCCTCAAGAGAGGGCAAGAAATATTAGTGCATTTAAATTTATCTTACCTCTGCATAATTATGCACCAGCAACAAGTGTTGTTTGGCTTCATCCAGTAAACAAAGTCTCTGTATTTGGTTCACTGTGGCTTGCATTTCATGATGAGTTTTAGTATATATAAGAATATCTGCTTAGCTAACAGTAATATTGGTGGGGCTGTCTGAGATTGACTTTAATAGTGCATTCATAAGAATACTGAACAAAGTGGGACTACTGTTAGTCCTCCACCTTGGGGATGCCAAGTTGCATATCTTTGACTTCACTTTTGTAACCTTGAAATAGTGCATCAGCCCTTCTGTTGGTGAAGTAACCACTTATCCAGTGTAACAGCCGCCCTCTTATATCCATTTTGGCTAGTTCGTACAATATAAGTTGCCTATTGGCATTATGAAGAAGAGCATTTAGGCCAAAAAATGTGGTGTATCTTTGCCTTTCATCCCCATGCACAGTTAGGAATGTTGCAATGCAATTATGTACACTTTTACCATGGGTGAAGACATTTATGTTAGGGTACATGTGTTCTCTGATTCTGTATAAGAGTTTGCCAAGAGCCATCCTCCCAAAGGTTTTGCACAGGCAACTGTGCACTTTTTGTCTAAAGCATTTATTTGGTAGTCATTGAGTATACTGGCAATGAATCAGAACATGATCCAATCTTATTCCATTATTTCTTATGGCAGAAAATTCCCCCTGTTTCATATGTTAGCTATGAACAGGATGGTAACTCCCCTTATTCCGTTATTTCTTATGGAGAGGAATTCCCTGCTATTACCATAAATGTTTCAGTATTCTTCCCTATTTTTTAGCATGTAATCCTTACAATCAATGGAGACCCCTGTATTATTCAGCATGATTCAAGTCATGTGTAAAAAAGCCAAAACAGTAACAACTAACCTGTTGGTATGAAAGGAATGATGTTTTCTTCAGGGGAAGTACTGGAAGAAGAGGTTTTGGTTTCCAATAGCCACTTCTCTTGAGTAGTAATGTCAATTCTGGAATATAATGTAGGAGTTTCTCTGCATGGGGATACAGACTCCTTGACACATGTGGCACTAGGTTCAAAATTTTCTTGATTTGTAGTTTCTGTGCTCACCTGATGATGCTTTACCTCAGACACCTTGTTTGCTTCTTGTTCTTCTGACTTGACACAAGTAACACCTGGATCAACATTTTCTTGATTTGTGTTTACAGTGGAGACTGTCAGATACTTTACCTTGGGGGCCTTGTTTGCTTGTTCTTTTTTAATCACCTGGAAAAGGAATCTATTAAATACAGATGACCCACAAAATGCATTTGCTGAACAATAAGAATAAATTGATATTAATCTTGAAATTCATTTGCTAATGGAGCCCACTGCAGTAGCTTTGTTATAAAACAGACCAAAATGGGATGTTTAATCTGTTACACCCTAATCCTCAAAGACAGCAGGGAAACAATTTATTGTTGCCTCTAAAAAAATGTTTATTTCCACAGCTAAACACACTTTTTAAAATTAGTATAGAATTCCTAACTAGAAGAAATCTAGTTTATCTGCACACCTAGATATGTAAGTACAGTACAGTATGGAAGCAAAAAACAATGAGTTACTGCATAAAGCAATTTTATAGTTTTAAAAGAAAAATTAAATTCTATTCAGCCCAAGGTGTCCTTCAGTGCAGGTAGTCCACAAGTTAGTAACAGGTTATGTTCCAAAATCATCTTTGTAAGTCCTTCATGTGGAAATTAATTTCTCATAGACACAACGTTACAAGTGGTGGTTAGGTTCCCAATCGAGCTTATAAAAGCCAATTTAACACATGATTATGCCAAAATATTATGTATTTGTCATGAATAATACAGTAGTAGCTAGCAATACATGTAGCACAATAAAACTAAATAGAAAAACAATAAACTATTTGCCCTTTCTTTTATTAATGTTTGGATCGTGGAATGATTCAAACCATAAATATGGTTGATTTTTGTTGGAGTTTAACTTTCTCTCAACACTTATTACAGTACAGTGAACTGTATATATCTTTAAAATTTCTTTCCCACTGTTATATAGTTAAGACTGTGCAGTACAGTATCCAATACAGTAGAACCTAGTTATTTCTAACTCTGGAATTATGAACTTTGCCTAATTTGAACAAATGAAAAATTGCATACCGGTCCTCATTAAGCATCAGGAATGTGTTCCAGAGAAAAGTGACTTATAATGAAACTGTATATAATGAGAAATTTTTCCCTATAAGAATTAATGTAATTAGGGGTATAATATGCATTCCAACAAGTACAGTAATATCCCCTTGAAATCTCAGTAAATCAGCTTACAATGGGATCATTATAACATACTGTAGTGTACAGTATAGTAATTGATATGGAGATACATTTCTAACAGTATTTGTTAGCAGTCAGTGAGGACACATTGTACTACAGTATTACCCCGCCTAACGCGGTTTCACTTAACGCGTTTTATCATATACGCGGTGCCTCGCCAGAGCTGAACTTTCACTTAACACGGATTTTTTCCACATATACGCGGTGAGTGTCCGGCTGGAGATGCTATTTTTAGATTTGCCCCACCCTGCCTGACTGCCTGTTTTAGCTCATAAAATTCATACAAATTACCCGGCCAGAATATAATTTACATTGCTGGAATTCTTATAATTTGGTGATCATTTTGAATATAAACATCATATTTTTGCATTAGACATACAAATTTTAGATAAAAAATTTTCTCAAATTAACTATGTTATCTTTTGTGCAAAATATATGACATTTATATTCAAAATATTCCTGGTCTTACAAGGAATCCAGCAATGTCAATTATATTATCCTAACTTTAGTTTGAGGTATTATTTATTAAAATTTAGTGGTTATCCCACACATCTCCTTGGGACGGTTGGTGGGGGGTGGGGGGGAGGGAGGGACCGACCGACCATCTGTTACCCTGTGAAGAATTATTTTTTTTTTTTATTAACTGAAGATATTTGTTTTAGCTCATAAAATTCATACAAATTACCCGGTCTGAATATAATTTACATTGCTGGAATTCTTATAATTTGATGATCATTTTGAATATAAACATCATATTTTTGCATTAGACATACAAATTTTAGATAAAAAATTTTCCCAAATTAACTATGTTATCTTTTGTGCAAAATATATGACATTTATATTCAAAATATTCCTGGTCTTACAAGGAATCCAGCAATGTCAATTATATTATCCTAACTTTAGTTTGAGGTATTATTTATTAAAATTTAGTGGTTATCCCACACATCTCCTTGGGAGGGTTGGTGGGGGGTGGGGGGGAGGGAGGGACCGACCGACCATCTGTTACCCTGTGAAAATTTTTTTTTTTTTTTATTAACTGAAGATATTTGTTTTAGCTCATAAAATTCATACAAATTACCCGGTCTGAATATAATTTACATTGCTGGAATTCTTATAATTTGATGATCATTTTGAATATAAACATCATATTTTTGCATTAGACATACAAATTTTAGATAAAAATTTTTCTCAAATTAACTATGTTATCTTTTGTGCAAAATATATGACATTTATATTCAAAATATTCCTGGTCTTACAAGGAATCCAGCAATGTCAATTATATTATCCTAACTTTAATCTGAGGTATTATTTAATACTAAATGTTAAAAACCCTGGAAGGGAGGATTGGTGGGGGGTGGGGGGGAGGGTTGGGACTGACCGCACGGTTGGAAGAGGGGGGGAGGCAAGGTTGAGTCCATTATTTGAATGGACATTAACTTGGCGACTGTATTTCTCTATTTCTCTTAAGTATTAATTGTGTGCATGTACCATCATAAAATTAAGATGTTATTTTTACTACAACATAGGTATGTGCCTTCAAAAAGTGGAGTTTGGGGGTCGGGCCGGTTTCTATTGGAATTAATCCCATATGTTCTGTTGTTCACTTAACGCGGATTTCACTTAACACGGGACCCTCTGGGTTCTATTGACCGCGTTAAGTGGGGTACAACTGTACTTCAAAAATGAACAAAAACTGCTATAATAAAACAATAAAAATTATACATAAGTGATCATAAAATACAATACATTAGTAATATCCCCATTAGCCAGAATCTTTATTTCCTGGAACTTTCCATTACCAGGAAAATAACATTTTAACATCTCAAAAATAGCTCTCCATTCCAGGCAATTGCATCACGTGCCAGCACATGCTTGTAAACTACGATTTGCTACTACAGTACTGTAATGAGACTGTATGGGATGCCTATGATTGGCTGATATCTCACAGCATAGCTCCTCAAATCCGAGCATCACAACACTTTTAGTTCATTGTCTGCTGTCATTGTACAGTGCAAGCTTGTTCACTTGCTTATTTTGCATATGATCTGTGTTGTGCAGTGCATTACAGTACTGACATTACTGTACCAGGACACAATCAGCCAAGAATATAGTTAAAGCAGTGTTAAAATACTGATCTGCCTGCATCACAAGCTGAAGTCAACAGCATCTGCTTGTGAGCAAAGTATTATATTTTACGGCATATAAGATGCACCCTCAATTTTAGCAGGTAGTATTTAGGAAATAATTTTTGCGTGTATTTTCCTCCTGTAGCCTTAGTTTTCTTAAAATAATATTAACAGTACCAGCTCATGTGAGGAATAAATAAAAATAATACCAATAAAGAAGTTACAAAAAAAATACCATATTACCAAACCAGTAAATAAAAGCCAGGCGGCTGGACCATTCAGTGCCATGCTTGACCCTACATCACAGCCACGCCTCCCTTCCTTTTCTCCCACAACTCCCGGTAGTAAACACCACACACAATTTTAAAGACTTTGCTTCAGGTGCTTTATTACTTACACAGATTTTGACAAGTATAGTACTTTTGCTCACTATCTTCTACCGATTCAGGTGGTATTACAGAAATTGGGGGACTTTTGAAAGTCCCCGGGAATTCTGGTAGTTCTGATTTTTACCCATACTGAGTGATTGAGGAATGATAATGAGTCTCTACAGAGATAATGAAGAAATGAATGCATCCAATCACTGATAAATACTTCACTGGTTAGATCCTGTCTACTGCTGAAACCCAGGGTACAGTACTTTGTATTTTTATTAACATCGCTCCAGCTGACTTAAATCATATGTGTTGACGCTGACATAGATGCCAGAGATAGTAGAACAATTGTCACAGTACTTCATTTTGTAAAAATAACTCACAGGGCTTTTCATTCACAATGTGAATAGATTGATGTGTTTCTGAACCGAAGATCTCTGATAAATTTAAATACCTCTAATACTTAACAATGGAATAGTGAGCTATAAAAGCCTTTTTCATTTAATTTCTACTGGAAGAATATTGTATTAGAACTTCTAAACAGGGACAAAGAGGATATGAGAACTTGCAAATCAATAACTACTGTAATCTTTATACTTTGGACAAAATGAGTCACTTCTATTGTAGCAAAAGATATTAATACCAATCAAATAAAATTTATTTACTAAAACAAAAACCGACTCCCTCTGAAGTTAAACTTACAATTCTGTTCCTCCTGGCAGCCAATTGCTTGTTGTAACGACCTGTTATCTTGTCGTCAATGGCAGAGATGATCCTTAGTGCTTTTGATTTATCTGTTAAATCTTTTATCTTTGGTGCAAGGTGATCAATCCCCAATAACCGGAGGCACCTAAGGAAGTAAGAAAGTCTGATGTACCCTTTGATTACCCTTACTGTCACCACAGTAGTAACTAGAACTTCTATGTACACAACTGTATTTGACTCACTTAAGAGAACAGCGACAAATAAGTTAAAATAAATTTTTTTTTAAATAATCGTAGTTAATGGTGGTATAACTTAATTTCTGTGTATCTCAATAACCTACCACATGATTATTTTTAATTTGGTGACAAAAGATAGGAAATTTAGTCAAGTTTAAGGATATATTATACCAACTTTCATCGTCATTGACGTTTTGTGGCCATTTTCCCTGCTTGTGTGGCTTAGCCACAATTACCTGATGGCAGCTGTTGGGTAAAATGAGAACAAGATGTCTCACCCCCTACTCACCACCCCAGACCCAGGGCACCAGCCCAGAAAATACAACAGAGACCAGGGGATGGGCACAGATCTGGTTGCTATCCAGGGATGTTGAAGCAAAGCAAAGACTACCTGACTACTGACTACTTTAACTGCTATTAAGCTTTGATGCTCCCATGAGCCAGAGTTTTAGTTTGTTAATAGCACTTGAGAGATGGAGCCGCAACCTTCCACCAGCCGTACACGGAGTGCTTCTCCACCATCTCATCGTCCATCTAAGTGCTTGAAATCCCTCAACCCACAACAGGTTGAGGAACTTGCAGCAATAGATGCAGCTGAGGGCAATAATAGACAACACAGTGAGAGTGAACCAAAAGTTAGTGATGTGGGTGAAGCTTTGTTTTACTAAAATTTGGGTTAAAGTGTAGATTAATGCTGCCAACGATTCTAGCAAGAACACACTGCTCTTTCACCATAATTTTGTTGTTAATTGCTAGTGACAGTGTTCTCTTTTGGGAAAGTGTTTCTTTTTTATAATTTATACCATACCATCGGCATGCCATGGGAGTGGGAGTGCCTAGTGCACGGGTCGTCTGAATAGCATTACCATGCTATATAATACATGACCCAACTCTGAAAAAATTGCACTTCCCCAATAGGGAAATACATTACGTTAGGCTAAATAGGGAAAAGTTAAATACTGTAATTATATAACCACTCAGGGGTGGTCGGGGAGCTCTCCCCGCTAGGAGGTTAGGTTAGGTTAAGGTAAATAAGGAAAACATTAGTTTCTCGTTTTTCCCCAGAAAAAAAAATTCTCCAATAAAAAAGCAGTGAAATTCATGCAGGAAAAAAATGTTCTTGCTGGCATAAAAATAAATAAATAAAAAATTATTCTAATACCAAAACCTGAGAACAGCCAATGGACGAATATTTACCAAAAAAAGGTGTTGCCTCTTAAAATATTTATTATAATGATAAGAAATTCTGTGGAAAAAATTAATTAAATCAAACAACTACTGGTGGTACAGTAGTACTGTTCTCAGAAATTACCGCATTTACTAAACCACATTTACCGTATTACAGAATGGATATAGAATCCTTGGAAAGAATTCAGAGGAGAATGACAAGGCTAATCCCGGGCATTAGGAACCTTGAGTACAGAGACAGGTTAAATCATTTTAATTTGCACTCCCTCGAGAGACGTAGAGTGAGGGGCGATATGATCGAGGTGTATAAATGGAAATCAGGGTTGATCAAAGGGGACATTACAAAGGTACTCAAACTATCCAACCAGGAGCGAACTCGTAACAATGGTTTTAAATTAGACAAATTCAGATTCAGGCGCAAAATAAGTAAAAATTGGTTTGGAAATAGAGTAGTGGACGAGTGGAACATGTTACCAAATATCATCATTAACTCGAATATGCTGGATAGCTTAAAACAGGCTGGATGGATATATGAGCAATAGGGGTTGGGTATGGGACTGCCCAGTATGGGCCAATAGGCCCGCTGCAGTTTCCTCCATTCTTATGTTCTTATATTATAAACTGAACATTAAAACAGATCTAACAGTACAAATTTCCAAACTCAATTTACACTATTTTTCTTAGTGGCTAGAAAGTATTGTTATTATACAGATTTAGGTAGAGTGTTGCATAATTTAATAGCATCACTTTACTATGAGCTGTAATATCAACGACCCCTTAGTTTGCTCTTATGTTATGTACTTCATTATTATAACTTACTTTTGTATGTGAACAAAACACTGGTGTGAGGTGGAGCTGGCTGGATCACCATCATAGTCAAATGTCGAGTCGTACACACTTAACAGCCTCTGGTAGACTTTAAGTAAACTCGGGGCATTCCAGTCTGCTGCATGTTGGTCAAAATTCGAGAAGAGATAATTATGATTTAACAAAAGTATGACATCTTGTTCCACCGCCATCACCTCAGCTGCTCCTCCAATGTTTTGAAATTGTCGTCACCGAGGAATGTTTGTTGACGGCTGTTCATTGGTCGACCACACATGAAAACTGAACACTGATTGGTTGAAGATCCTAAGCCTCATAGTATTTAAGGGCTGCTTTTTAAAAACGAGTTAGTCATCCTGTAATTTGTTTAAACTACTATAAATTAATAATAAAATATCCTATTATTATTTATGTTTCTATACCTCTACATTATTTATTTTAGTTCAGAAAAATATTTTAATAGAACACCGGACGAGAATCCAGAATCCGGATTCGGATCTATGTAAAACTGGTGTTGTCACTCGTTATCGTCTACTTCAGTCTTTCCACCTAGGATCACTATTTCGAATTAGGTTATCTGAAATAATATTTCCGAATGAAGAATGAATAACGAATGTTGTATACAAAAAACTTACTTTGAGAACGATATGGATTTCCTGGATTTTCTGAACCCCAGACGAAGTTCCATGTGAACAGTAACACGACATGATTTATATCTATTTTTTACTTTTATCCTTTTCACCACTGATCGGCTCGTTAAACGCTTGGGCGATCGGTCACGTAGCTGTTATGCACTATTGGCAAGTGCTCCTGAATGCACCTGAACCTGCTCCAGTGTTGGTAAAGTCTGGTCTTGAAAGAGCTCACACTCGGTGCCGTTACAAAACTTTCTGGCAGATTGTTCCAAGAGTTTACAACTCTCACTCCGAAAAAGTTTGCCCTCACAGTTTTCTGGACCTGCTGCTTCTTCAATCTTGAGCTGCGACCCCTTGTGGGGCGAACGTCCGCCAGCTCCAAGTAAGGACACTCGACTGAGTAGTGCCCCTTGAGATGCTTATACACCTCAATTAGGTCGCCCCTTGCCCGTCTGTAGTATAAGCTAGACAAGTTCAGGCGCTCCAATCTCTCAGGGAAATTGAGTTGCCGAAGTGCAGGCACCAGTCTGGTGGCCCTCCTTTGAACATTTTCAACCAGCTGATAGTTCCTAGCATATTTCGGGGACCAGACGGGGTGACAGTACTCCAGATGGGGAAGCACCTCACTCTTGAAGGTCGTTACGTCTAGATATCTGAACGACCTTCTTATAAGACCTAATAATGCTGATTTACCTTCTCGCAATGGCCCAAGAACTCAGCTCATTGTCAACATACACACTTGGGTTCTTCTCACATTGTCTCAAATTGTGCAGTTTCTTCATCCCGTTGGGACATATGATACGCCTCTTTACCGTTGGTACTTCACAGGTGCATCCTCTTACACTTCGTGACATTGAATCTCAGCAGCCATTTCCCTGACCATTCTTGGAGCTCACAGAGATCCTTCTGCAGCTCTCCACAGTCCACTTGGTTCTTGATTTCCCGAAATAACTTGGCGTCATCTGCAAACATTTGTAGGGAGGAGTGTACAACATCAGGCATGTCATTTATGAAACAAACAAACAACAGAGGGCCCAATACACTGCCTTGTGGTACCCCGCTTGTGACAGGTACAGGTGATGATTTCGTACCATTAATCACCACACACTGCTTGCGGTCATGTAGAAAGTCTTCTATCCACGGTGGGACATTTCCCAGAGTTCCGCACCCTTCCAGTTTGATTTTCAGCCTTTCGTGGGGTACACTATCGAAAGCCTTGGCAAAATCTAGGTATACGAGTAAATTGTCGATATTACCACCCGTTCCAGAATATGGGTCCAAATATCCAATACCTTGAGCAATTGTGTTAAGCAGGAGCGCCCCGGCATAAAACTGTGTTGACAATCCTTTACAAGGTTGTTTCGTAGTAGATGTCCCATCGCAGCATCTCTTATAATACTCTCAAGTACCTCACATATTATGCTGGTCAGGCTCACCGGTCTACTGTATAGTTGTTCGTGGAGTGACGATCACCCTTCTTGAAGACAGGACTCACAAAAGCCATTTTCCAATCACTGGGGACCTTTTGTTCATCCAGGCATTTACAGAACAGGATCTTCAGGGGCTCGGCAAGCTCGTTGCACAACTCTCTTAGCACTCTGGGATGCACCATGTCAGGACCGGGACTCTTATAGACCTTTAGCTTTGACAGTTTATTTCTTATACCCTCTTCTGTGAACACAGTGTGGGTCAATGCTGTGTCGAACCGTCTGTCCTCAAACGCAGGAAGGTTAATCGCATCCTCTCTTGTGAACACCGAGGAAAAGAAGCTGGTCAATGCCTCAGCTTTATCCTGGTCAGAATCTGCGTAACTACCATCTTCAAGCCTCAGGTCTGATACTCCTACTCGCGTTTTTAATTTCGACTTTGCATAGCGGTAAAACGCCTTTGGGTTTGACTTGACCTCGCTTGCAACCAGCCCCTGGCTAACCGTATGGCCATTCCACCTAGTACAGGTGGCCAGGACGTGGAAGAAGGCCTGTATAAGATCATGATCCTTCCATTGTATTCTTGATTGCCTTGTCAAGGGCTATTTTGAAGCCCAGTGTTCTCTCTTCCAGGGTTTGTGTTTGTAGATTTCTTAAGTAGGTCGACCACCTTGGCGAGCTAAAGTGTGTCAGGCTGTCAGCTTGTGTTGGTGGCGCTTTACATCACGTGGAATTGATCTGGGTTTATGTATTCCACCCCAATAAAGACGTATCTGCCAACAGTGCGTATCAGAGACGTGACCGAACGCCCAAGCGGCTAACGCGCCGATCAGTGGAAAAGAGGATGATAAAGTAAGTAAAAGTATGTATGGTCTGTTCGTTTTGGAAATGTACACTCGGCCCCGCCTAGCAATATGACGTATGATTTTGTGATTGGATAATGTGGTAGTATCCTCTGTGGAAACAAATTTTAGTAAATCTACAGCAGTTCATTGGTTATTTGTTTTCTAACTGGCCAATCAAAATTCAAGACGAGAAAAAGAGGGCGGGGCTATTTGACAATTTCACAATGAACAGACGCGTTAAAGACGATGAAACAGTTGATGTTAATGATGATGATTATATCATTAATAATAATGACGGCAAACTGAAGAATGGAAAGGCTGCTGGAAGCTTTGAGATAGTTACCGATATGCTGAAATCAATATATATTGTTGGCGTGTCTATGGTGACTGTATTATAGACAAGTGCAATCATGATGGAATGTACTGTCCGAGACGATTGGCGGAAGAATATGATGGTGGAAATTTACAAGAGTAAAGGTGATACACACACTTCAATACGGTAACTACAGGGGCCTGAGGCTGTTAGATCAGGTATGAAAGTTGTAGAAAGAGTGATCGATAAACTGATATGAGTGGATATAAACGAAGTGCAGTTTGAGTTCATGCTAGCTAGGTAGAGGACGACAGAGACAATATGTTTGACCGGCAACAACAAGATAAATATGTAGAGGAGGAAAAAAAGTTCTATTACGTATTTGTAGACTCAGAGAAGGCAATTGACAGGGTACCGTGTGAAGTGGTAAAGTGGGCAAAAAGAAAGTTAGGGATCGAGCAGCGCCTTGTTTGAGTGGTTATGGAATTATATGAGGGCTCAAAAACATCTGTGAAAGTAATTTGTGAGGAATTTGAGGTGAAAGCAGGGGTCCATCAAGGGTGTGTCTAGAGTCCCGTTCTGTTTATCATAGTGCTAGAGGCACTAATACAGTACAGTACTTTAGGACTGGTCTGCCCTGGAAGTTGTATGCTGATGACTTAGTGATAAAAGTGAAAAAAATTAACAAATTGAAGGATGAAATATAGTCAAAGGGCTTGAGAGTGAATGTGTTGTCTGTAAGAAAGGTGTTGGCAGCAACTCAATAATGTGTAATAAGTGTGGAAGCTGGGTACACATGAGGTGCAGTGGAGTAGATGGCAGACTGCAGGGTGATGCTGACTTTAATCCCTCCCCAACCACTGTGAAACTTATCAGATTTACTTCCATCTTCACCCTATGTTTCTTCTCCTTTTGTCCTGAAAACTTTCTTAAGTGACCCTCTCCACAGTGTCACCATGTGTACTTTATACCACATGTTTATTGTATAGTTTCTGCCTTTGGCTACCATGTTCTATCAATAAACCATGAATTATTATATTTATTATTACACACACACACACACACACACACACACACACACACACACACACACACACACACACACACACACACACACACACACACACACACACACACACACACACACACACACACACACACACACACACACACACACACACACACACACACGATAAAAATATGTGAGAGTGAGCCGACAAAAATAACATTAGTTCCTCGATATAATGAACGTGATAATTAATGAGGAGAATGTTCCCGGACGGAGGAGAGAAGAAGAAGAAGAAAGAGGGAGAAAAACAAAGAAAAAAGAGAAAGAGGAAGAGCAGGAGATAAGGAAGGAGAATAAGAAGAAGAAAATGAAGAAAGAAAAAATGAGGAAAAAAGAAAGGGGGAGAAAGAGAAATAGAAAGTGATGGATTAGGACTCACGAGGAGGATGAGATAGAAGATAAATATAAATAAAAGATGAAAAAGAATAAAGAGGGGGACGATAATGGAAATAAAAAGAAAATAGAAAAAAGGAGAGGAGGTAGAAAAGACCAAAAAATATGATAAAGAGGAAGTAAAAAAAGAGAAGTGATGAAAACGGAAATGGAGGAGAAGGTGTGGGCGTAGAAAGCAAAGGAGAGAGAGGATGAAGACGGAAGAGGAAGAGATGTAGGAGCGAGGATGGAGGAGGAGGAGGAGGAAGAAGAAGAGTGAGAACAGAGTAGGCCTAAAAAGCGAATGAAATACAGAAACGAAGAAAGAGGGAGACGGAGGGAAAAAACAAAATGGAACAAAAGCAAAGAGGAGGAAGAAGAGGAGAAGAAGAGTAGGAAGGGAAGAAGAGTAAGAGGGGGAGAAAAGGAGGAGAAAAAGAAGAGGAAAAGGAAAGAAAAAGAAGAGGGGAAGAAGAGGAGGAGAAAGCTGGGGTATGCGGAAGTGAATAAAAATAACGAAGTGTAAAAGGGAGAAATGATAAAGAAATGAAGAGAGAGAGAGAGAGAGAGAGAGAGAGAGAGAGAGAGAGAGAGAGAGAGGAGATGG